AACCAGAGCGGAAAGCCCAAGGAAGGAGTACTGAGGCCCTGGGGAGGCCGTCATCCTCAGGTTACCGAGCTGAACATAACTCTCAGTTTGGACACAGAGAGGCTGATTAAAGCCAGAGACAGAGGAAGTCAGAGAGGCTGGAGAACTGACAGGAAAAGAAAAGAAAAAGACTTACTGAAGTAAGTAGCAGCAATGAATAAAATGTGTAACATTATGTCAGTCACACGCTCTTTATGTCAACAAACCAAACCAAGATGCTTCCTGCTATTACAGTCTGTACACAGTTATGGAAAAGTGGCACCTGGAGACAACATTTGTCTCAAAATATGTACTTTGAAAAAAAATTTCAAGACCTGGTGAACAGGAGAGTGAAAATTGGAGTTAAGGTGGGCATAAACAACTTCAAACGAATGCCAATGTTGCTCTTAAATAGGCATTTATCATCATCACATTTTCAATTATCGATATGGGCTTCACCATGTGGTTGCCAGGCAGCAGGAAAAGTCCAGGATGTTTTGATAAGCTAAACTGCTTGTGCTAGCTTCATATTTAACATATGACATGACAGTGGTATCGATCTTCTCATCTCACTCTTGGCAAAAAATACATGGATTTCCCGAAATGCCACATAATTCCCTTAAGTTCCCAGCTGTCTCTGTACTGTGTGTGTTTGCTGTAATTATTCTTTCATTAAGTAGTTCCACTAACTATACTCAACCAGAAACAAGTTCAACATCTTGTCTCAAGATACACACATAATTTAACACAAAGTAAATTAGTTAATTAAATTATGAATGAATTAATATATTCATTATTTTAATACATCAATGCAATGTTTAATTTTCATTCATTTACATGACCCATCCCTCATGAATTTATTCAGACACAAACACTAACAACTGAATAAAGCAGACACTGAGGCCCTGTCTACACCAACACAGGTATTTTCATAACCGTGACTTTTTTACCCGGTTTGGCCATTCGCCCACACGTAAACGCAGTATCAGGTCACTGAAACTGAACATTTTTGAAAACCCCTGCCAGGGTGAGGATTTTCACAAACGCCGGTTGCAGTAAAACCGGGGGTTTTCCCTTGCGACGTCAGAGTGTGCCCCGTTATCTGCTGTGTTTGATGTCAGATTGTGCGCCACTGCCTGCTGTGTTTACAATTTTTACAGGCTTTTATTGTATACGTGGCTTTACGGTTAGGGTCATATCGCTGCCAGGTGGTTTGGGATGCTCTTGACAGTGCTTGATAGCGTGTGTTTGCGTTTTAAACGAAGGAGGAAAAACTCGGTTAAAAATACCCGTGTCCGTGTGGACTAGGCTTGAGATAATACCTCCCAAGGCTCCACTTGCAGAGTCTGTTTAATAAATAATGTTTAACAAACACTGACCTAATTGACAACTCACAGAACACTTTTAATAAAATTCTGTTTACAGTACTGTACTTTGTAAGGTTGTACATATTATCTACAGCAAAAAACTGTCCAGCAGTTAAATATGAAACAAACTTTGAATCTCACTGCACATATAC